ATAATTTTTAAATGGTTTTAATATAGTTAATAAATAATTTTTTAACATAAAAACAATTAAATGAACAATAATAGAAGTTTAACTTTGGCATCAATCGTGTATATAGCGAAAGTTTTAACTGAAATGAATAAAAAATTCACTAATATAATGAAAGTTGTAGTTGCTCCAAGTAAAATTTTTTTCCCGTGCATAAAGTTATTTTTATAATTAAATAAAATGTAAATTTCTTTTTTAACGCATTTTATATTATCATCAGGGACCGATTCTGAAACGAAACTAAATTTAAAATTTACGTTTAATTTAATTTAGTTTCGTGTCAACTCGAAACTAAAGTCCGATAAACTTAAATATTTAATGTCAGTAAAAAAATCACTAAAAAACGAAATATTTCAATATTTAATATTCATGAAAGTTAGATTCACTTTTTCCACTTTATTTTCTATTGAAGTCTCTTTATACTGCTTTATATCTAGTATTAAGGTTATAATAATATTATTACTTTCAATATTTTGTTTTTTGCTGCGATTTTTTAATTGAAACTAAATAATTGAGTTTCTCAGACACTTGTTTTCGATCTACACTGTAATAAATTTAATTTTTTTAGTTTAGTTTCGTATCTCGAAACTAAATTCAATTTATTAATTTGGTTTCGAGTCAACACGAATCTAAATTCAGTATGTTAATTTAGTTTCGAGTCGACACAAAACTAAACTCAGTTTGTTAATTTAGTTTTGTATCAACCCCGAAACTAAAACGAAACTAAACTTTCGTAACGGTCCCTGAATTTATTTTATTAAAAACTTTTAATCTTTTCAAAATGTAAAATTTTCTTTATAGAAACAAGTAATGAGATCAGTCTAGACATTGGTTTAAATCGTCTCAAAAATATAAACTTAGCATAGTCTATGCATTGACCGGGAAGTAACAACGTTTAAAAATTTATTAAAATCATATAAAAGATACTTTATAGCATTTTTATACATAAAATTAACAATTATGCGATGATTATGCAAATAGTGTTAAATTATGCAATGAAAAAAAATTACGCACTGAAAGTATAATTATGCGATTGGATGCGATCACAAATCACATTTATTTTGTATGAATTCTTAATAACTCACAAAATACAGAAGTTATGCTCAGTTTGAGAACATTATGCGATTATGCGACTTGCATAAAGTATGGGTCTCTAACCATTATCATCTGTATGGTTGACCCAACCTCTGGCACGAGAACTATGGGCTGACCAAAAAATTTTTAAAAAAGTTCTTCGAGATTTCGATTATTCAAACAAAAAAATTCTGAAATCCATTCACTGAAAAAAAATATTCTTAATTTAAGAATATATATACTAAAAATAGGTGCCAAGGATATTCCCTACTTAAATTAAGTGGTAAATACTCTTACTATAAGAATATATTCTTATTGTTCAATTTTAGTAAAATCCAATTATTCAAAAATTTTCCAATTACAAATTTATGTTTAACAATTGAAACAATTTCAAAACAATTAGAATAAAAAAATTTCAAAAATATTAGTGAATTTTTGTAAAGTTTCGCTATTTTGTTAAAAATGCAGAAAATCTGCCATCAGAAGGAAAGTTTGTTCATTCGTCAAACTTTGAATAATGCTGAGGAACAAAAATTGTCTTAATTTTTATTAAAAAATTGAATTTTTTCAATTTCCATCAAATTATATTTAATTTTTATTAAAATTCTTCTCACGGATTCAATTATTTTCATAAATAATGAAATTCATATCAGAATTTCAATTATTTTAAATAAATTCCTCTAAAAATGAAATTATTCTTAAAATTTCAAAAGTTATTGTTTTCTTCCAGTGAAAATTTTATTCAAACCATATATTTTGAGTTGAATAAAAGTATATTTGTATCAGAACCAAGTAAATTATTTGATAAAATTCCAAATAAAATTTATTTAAAACAAATAGAAGATTAATAATCTTTTAGTCCAATGTATCTTTTTCTAGGTATATGCATGTAAATATTTTTAAGAATTTTGTTAAATTTATAAAGTTTATACTTATAAGGTACGTGTAACTGTATTTTGAAGTTAAAATATACATTATATTTAAAATTTTCTTAAATAATGGAGATTGATGGGTAAATAATATATTTCAAGTAATTTGGTATCTGACGGGCCAAATGAACACTTTTGGCCCGTCTTAAAATATGTATATGGAAGTGCTGTGACAAGCCAAATAATAAAAGTTGATTTTTAAATGTTTGTATAATGTATATTTATTTGAAAAAATTGTATTTAACATTTATTTTTTGGTGTATTATGCCTTGCACACGGAGAAACTTTTTCTTATAATATTAAATATATTTGGTTATGTTTATTCTAAAAGTACGTTAGAATGTGAGGATTTTTCGTGCGTTGTGCTAATAATTTCAACATTAATACGAAAATATGATAAGTTTGTTATATATTAAGCAACCTTCGGTGTACAAAAATTACTATCTGCATTAGAAATAGTCTTATTTTTCTTTAGAAAAGAATAAAATGCTAGTTTTTGTTTGTGAAATAATACGGTAATTCTAACCTTTTTTACACATATAGATAGAATATATAAGAGACATTCTAACGCAACATACCAATTTTGGAAGGACTGCGGGCGGACTTAACCGATTTCACCCGAGCATCACCGAGTCCATCACCTGACGTCGCGAACTAACCCTAATGTTTTCGAAGTTGAAATTCTAAAGAAGAAGAAGTTGAAATTCACACGTGTATGAAAGAAAAAACCTTTTATTAATAAACGTGAATGTCTCCTCATGCCAAATTAAATTCAAGAACTGTTCCTCAATATAACATAATTTTTTTCACGACTTTTACTTATTTACATAATTTGATTAGTAAGTTATTTTAAAAAATGCTCTCTCTCGAAGGCACATATTTTTCCACTCGTTTAATATATAAGGACGATTCAGCTGTGTACTTCTAACGAATCGTGCGATCTTTCGGTTTCCGTGACCAATCGTCGTGTCTTTACTTGCGTGTGCGTGTGTGCGTTAATAATATAGGTTAGATTAGGTTCTTACGTCGTGTTAAATATATTTACCTACAGTTACAGTGACATAACCTATTGCCATCTACCATCAGATCCAAGTATCACTATCGTCTCTATGAGTATCTATAGACAATTAATTTGTTGTGTTTCTTTTTAATTCATGGCTTTCCCAACTTTGCAAAAATTATTATTTTCTTTCTAAAACAACATACTAATTTTCGTTAGTTTCCTTATGAAGAACTGTAAAATATATACTGAATGAGTGTTTTTGATAGTCTCAATAGCAATTTCTATAACCTATGTCGTTTTTCCCTTGAATCTAACCTAACATACTAAAATGTCTCACCAGTTTTAAGAATTAGTGGTATTAAAAGTTTCTCCGTGCACGTACAATAATTAATAAATTAAATTTTTTAATGTTGATAAATCATTTAAGGGAACATTCCAGTTCAAAATAGGAAAAAACAAGGCTTTTTTAGTATATATTATTAAAATAACTATGACATTTATTTATAAAATTTCTTTTACATGTGACAAATAATTTATTTAAGAATATGGAAAAAAATTTTTTTTTTCATTCTTACTTCAAAATGGCAGCGATATATGCCATTTTCAAAAATGTCCATTTCTTATGGTAAGATCGATTCCAATCTTGATAAAACAGATAAGACCAAAAACGAAGTGACATTCTCTTCGTTAGATATTTCTTTAGGTGTGGAACCTCAAAAAAGTGGAATTTTCTTCCCCTCCTTTTTTTAGAGTACTTTTTCCCCAAAACATGAAAAAAACACATATTTTTATTCAGAATTTCTCTTATAAATAAAAAGGGAGTTGAAAATTTTCCAGTTTTTGAAGTTCCACTTATAGACATGAAGACGATAAATCAAATGCCGTTTGATTTTTTAAAACCGCTTCATAAGATCTCGAGATATCACTCTTACCAGATCAAAAAAAGACATTTTGAGATAAACGCACTTAAAGTTTTGATTGATAAGTTTGGACAATTTTTTAAAAAAATTATCGGATTTGCTTGAAATTTTTTGGGGTCGCTAATTACGAATATCGTATCAGATTTTTAAAATTCAAAATGGCGGACAATTTCTTTCAAAATAATCGGATTTGCTTAAAAATCGTTACTGGGGGATTTTTGGGGTCGCTGATTACGAATATGATATTAGATTTTTGAAATTCAAAATGTCGAATCTAATATGGCGGACAATTTATTTTTTTAAATCATCGGATTTGCTTAAAAATCGTTACTGGAAGGGTTTTTAGGGTCGCTGTTTACGAATATGATATTAGATTTTTGAAATTCAAAATTGATTAATTTTGAAAAATTGCCCGCCATATTGGATCCGACATTTTGAATTTTTTAAAACTGATGTCAGATTCGTAATCAGTAACCCCAAAGACCCCCTAGTAACGATTTTTAAGCAAATCCGATTATTTAAAAAAAAATTCTGCCATATTGGATCCGCCATTTTGAATTTCAAAAATCTGATATCATATTCGTAATTATCGATTCTAAAAACTCTCGAGCAACGATTTTCAAGCAAATCCACTTGGTTTTTAATTTTCTCTTCCGCCATATTGGATCCGCCGTTTTTAATTTTGAAAATTTGATATCTTATTTGTGATTAGCAACACCAAATACATTTTTGTTTGTCTTTTTTACAAAATGCAAATAAGAAAACATTTAAATTATTCGATTGGGTTTTGCTCATCCGCATATAAAAACACCTTTGACATGGCGAAGAATAAGTTAGTATGTATAACTTTTGTTTTACTTCGAATTTTGCAATAAAATTTTAGGAGAGTATTCTTGACACTATAAGAAATCCGAAAATAAACAAATAAAAAATCGATTTTTTTGACATTTTGAACTGGAATGTCCCCTTAAATGTGTAACGTAATATTAACATTAATTTATTAAATTCACTTACTAATAAGTTTTTTTTTTATTACAGTCAACAGAAATTATGATCCTTCGTTGCATATGTTTCAACATGAAAGGGAATATACGAGAGCTCTAAATTCAGTGAAATTAGAACGAGTATTCGCTAAACCTTTTATCGGTAATTTAAATGGCCATAAGGATTCAGTGTCATGTTTGTGTAAACATCCAGTTCATTTATCAGTTTTGATAAGTGGTGCATTCGATGGTGAAGTTCGTGTTTGGAATTTACCTGGACGAGAGTGTACACGATCATTTTTAGCCCATGATGGAATTGTTCGTGGAATAACACAAACTTCAAGTGAGAATCACTTCATCACCATAGGCGATGATAAAATTATTAAAACATGGAATTTGGAAAATACTATTGGTAATGACGATGAAGGACCCATACCAGTTAATACTGTTCTATGTGAAGTAAGACACTCAAGTTTAGCAACTTCTAATATAAAATCTATTATCACTATTTAATTTACAAGTTTAATATGTTTCAAATGACGCCTCGCAGTCGAAAACGTTGGTTTCCTATTTCCATTCACTTGTACACCTCAACGTTTCTAAGTATATTTAGAAACGTGCAGAGCTTTTATGAATTTTGATTGGCTATGTTTATAGAACATTTTTGGAATAGAAAATTTTTTTAATGGAAAATTTAGACAACTACTAAATTGGAAATATTTGTAGCTCTCTATAAAAACAATCATAATTTGTAAAATTTCAGCATATTTTTGAATATACTCAGAAACTAGGAGATGTACAATCACCTTTAATTAAATTAACCCTTTCAGTCCCAGTGAGCGATATATCGACTACCTTTCAAGGCATCACTTTTTTCAACATAACTTCTAATATAACTCTAAACAATTGTACATTTCGTCATTTTTGATTGAATATTTAAAAAATTCGTAAAATTTCCAACAAATTATATGTATGTAGGTAGAAATATTGTGACTGAATTAACATTAGAGTAACACACTCACTGAAATCAAGAGTTCTGCACACAATATAGCCATTTTTTCATAAAAACACAATGTACAGAAATTTAGTTTTATTTGTCGAATTGTGTAAGCAATGTCAGAAGGAACAATTTTATAAATTTAAAATTAAGTGGGAGAAACTCTCACTTATCTGATTTTATTTTTAATAGTATATAAGTGTACAAACTTTTAGTCGTCTAGGTCAAAAAATGTGGAGGATAGGGGGTCGTACACATAATACGTCACGCGAACAGGGGGATAGGGGGGTCAAGACATTTGTGACGACCTATAGAAAAAATGGCGCTAATGTATGGGACAGTGTGTGACATGGGTGGAGGGGGGTGTCTAAAATGGTCAAAAATCGCGTGACGTATTATGTGTACGGCCCATAGGTAGGATACACGTTTTTTCAAAATTTTTCAGTTTTTCTTTAACAACGCTATGATTACTCAATCGTTTTCGCTACACTGTAAAAGAGGGAGTTAAATTTCAACTCCCCAAGGGATTCTACAAAAGTCACTCCCATTGGGGAGTTGAAGTGAAGAGAGTTACAAAATTCGGTCACACCGGTGACCGTCAACTCCCTAAATTTTTTACAGTGTATATTTTTCCTGTTATCTACAGGTGAAATCTATCAATCTATCAATTTCTGGCTTCAAATTGATATTTAGCGGGCAGAAATACATTAAGAGTACACTAACGTAGTGTAATATCAAAAGAAATTTGACTCTTTTGACTCCAATATTCGTGTTTTTAGCATATTTTTGAGTTTATCTTAAAATTTTGAGCCAATCAGATATTTCTGACTTCAAATTCGTATTCAGCGGAAAAAAATACATTGGAAAACACTAGTGTAGTGTCTCGGCGAAAAAAATGTTTCTCTTTTGATTTTAATTTGTTATTTGGTCAGTTTTTTGAGTTAAACTTAAAATTTTGTGCCAATCTAATAATTCTGACTTCGAATTTGGATTACACTAGAACCTCCAACGATTGCATCTCTATCTATTGCAGTTGTTTACGAAAGTTTGGTGGTCATCCGCTAGGGGGGTGAGAGGGGAGGACACCGCCATATTAATGCGAAGGCAGTATTGTACTAAGTTTAGTGTTCTTTTGCGCCCCGTTTTTTAAAGTTGTATTTTCATATTTCAACATGAGACTGAAAAAGGTCAAAAAGGTCAAAAACGTAAAAGAACGCACTTAGGCATTGAAACTAAACATAATATTAAAAAAAAATAAAAAATGACAGGAATGCGAGGATAAAAATGACATTTTACGCCAATACAAAATATGTGAGAGTGTACGGCCCTGAGTGTTGACACTTTTATGGAAAGATGGCGCCAAGGTGAAAACCTCCATCTATTGCACACAAGAAGGTCACGCTGCAATCGTTGGAGGTTCTAGTGTATGTGGAAAAAAGGTAGAGGAAAATTTGTTTAAACCATTTTTAAAGATTTCCACGAGGAAACAAAAATTAATGGATTCTGATAAAACTTGGTATCAAGTGGTCTTTAGGTTCGTTGAGCACCGATTTGGCTCGTGCCCTCAATGTCATACTTTTCATGCGTTCCATGCACAAGGCAAACTTTAAATCTCAGATTTTCTTCATAATTTGCCATTTTGTTGTCTTAGGGGACATTCATAAGTTGTGAAAATAGTTTTGCAAAATTTCGATTATTTTGCAAGATATTGTTATTTAAACTTTTAAGTCACTTTTTTCAACAATTTCTATTTTGAATTATTTATTTTAATTATTTATTTTTGATAGTATTTGCAACCTTGTTTTTTTATTAATTACAATTTATTATAAACATTGTTACTCAATTCCGCACCACCCAGTTTTTAACGCGTTTTTAAAAGAAATATTTTTAAAAAACGTAGTATTCCTCATATGCTTAATCTACATATTGTTGTTACTTTTATAGATTATTGTAATTTAATGACAATTGCAATAATAATTAAGTCATTCCATTATATTTCGATTAATGTCGTCACCAACTAATTTTAAAAAATTATAATATTTTGCAGGAATGATTTTAAAGGCATTAGGATAACTAAACAAACAGATTTTTTAAAAATATTTTTAATGTTTATTGCAAAATAAGCATCTAAAGTATGTAAGGTCTCAAAAACTGCCACTTTTTCATCTATTAGAAAATATTAAAGAAAACACATGATCTACTATGAGAAGTTAAAATATTATTTGAATTTATTGAGATTGATATAATTTATTATTATAAATTGATAGAAACAATTAATTATGAGAAGTATTAAACGAAACGAAAAAGTTTAAATTATGTGTTGAAGTTAACGATCACTCCGAGTCAAGCCAATGGAAAAAATTAAAAGAATTCCTTTAACGTTTTCAACAGCAAAGCTGTCCTGTTCAGAAACTAATATTTAATTAAATAAATTTAGACAATAAGTTTATTACAATATTAAAATAAAATAACATTAATCAAATTATTACCGTAAAAATTGCGAAGAAATTAAACTATAAGTACATATTTAAAAAAACGAAAAAAAGGAGGAAACGTCCTCGTCTCAACGTATACGATTAGATACTAATTCACATTATAAGTTTTCAGAAGATATAAAGTAGAGTCTACATTCCATGGTACGCGAACGTGAACGTGTACGCGAACGTCTGACGTCACCCATGCTATTCAAATGGGTGACGTCAGCACGGCAACGTTCGCGTTCATCCAATGTAGACTCAACTTAAAGTAGAGTCTACATTCCATGGTACGCGAACGTGAACGTGTACGCGAACGTATGACGTCACCCATGCTATTCAAGTAGAGTCTACATTGGATGAACGCGAACGTTGCCGTGCTGACGTCACCCATTTATAGTAGAGTCTACATTCCATGGTACGCGAACGTGAACGTGTACGCGAACGTCTGACGTCACCCATGCTATTCAAATGGGTGACGTCAGCACGGCAACGTTCGCGTTCATCCAATGTAGACTCTACTTATAGTCGGTTCTACAATGGGCACGTCGGACGTGGTCGTCTGACGTGCCGTGCTGACGTCACCCATGCTATTCAAATGGGTGACGTCAGCACGGTACGTCAGACGTCCACGTCCGACGTGCCCATTGTAGAACCGACTTATAGCATGGGTGACGTCATACGTTCGCGTACACGTTCACGTTCGCGTACCATGAAATGTAGACTCTACTTCAAATGGGTGACGTCAGCACGGCAACGTTCGCGTTCATCCAATGTAGACTCTACTTAAACGTGGATGGATAAAGATGAGGTCAATAACCCATCAGTAAACAAAAAACCGAAAACAAAAAATCGAAAACAAGAGAAATGTCAAGGTAACCTAGATGAGAAAAGAATCAAAAGAATTTCTTTTCATCAAGAAAGCGAATGTAATGATTATTAAGATCTTGTGTATCATCTTTTTTATTAACTGAATTATTTTGCAAATTAATATGAATCATCACTTTTAGAATTAGGAGAGTTCTGTTCTACAGAACAAATACGATTTTATGTACCTGGATTATATAAGAGGACATTAACTTTTCTTAAAAATTTCAATATTTTAACTATTCCTAAAAAGAATAATAAAATGAGTTATAATTTAATCATCAAGGCTAAAGATAGAAACAGAAAATCTGATAATGTCAACACTGTTTACAAAATAAACTGTAGAAATTGTTCTGCTTCTTACGTTGGTCAATCTAAGAGAATGGTAGGTGTTCGTATTAATGAACACAAAATTCAAAAATAGGTGTTCCCTACTAAAAATAAAATCAGGAATCGTCATGAATGGTCAGAATTTCTGAACATTCCTGAACAGTCTCACCACTTCTGACGTTTTCGAAAGTTTCTCACCATTCCTAACCAAATACTTTCCAAGCTCCTCCCACTTTACTCCCACCATTTTCGAAGCTGTGACCATTTCTGAAATTCCTGACCATTTCTGAAATTCTTGACTATTTCTGAAATGTGTGAACACATAACCTATAAAAATTTTGGTACATCTTTCTAATTTTGGTAAAGTCTCATGAAAATTTATATATACATATAAAATCTTTCAAATTTATTTTTTACATTTCAGAATACATTATTCTATTATAAAAATTGTTCTTCTAACTTAACAAAAGTTCTTATTTTTCAAATTGGTATAATTATTGAATTAACACGGTACCCTGGAACCAATCTCAACCCTTAACATTCTCCCTTTCAAAGATTCCTGTTGCAACTTGTTCGGGGTACCTCACTGAATATTTTCTGACAAGAAAAATCAAATTCCGTCGGGCGCTTTTTTTAATTTCAATTTTTGTGTTTTAGCGCCAAATTTAAAAAAAACTGGTTTTAATGATCATTTAAAAAAAAATTCAACTTCAACTGGTCAAATTTTGTTCCAGAAATTGTACAAAACCATAATTCTGGTAGAAAATTTTCCGTATAATCGGAATCTGACG